TTTTTTGTTTTAGTATTTTGAAGTTGACCAATTGTTACTATAAGCAATTAATGATTATAGATGATCTGCACCGTATTAAAAATTTATTCGATAGTTTCATATTTATCCCTTGAACGGTTTTTCGGCTATTGATAGCCGAAATTTTTTTTCTGTTATAAAAACTTTTTCTGAAGGTATCACTTCCTAATACGAAAATGATCTTTGAGATTCGGCTGATTGATCTGTGAATAAAAATTCGGTTGTTGTCCTTGTGATTTTTGTAAAATATTCCTTAAAAGTTGGTCAATTCTATTTTTACTTTGCAGATCGTTAAATTGGCCAATAAGAATGCAAGGTAAAATCATTTTGTGTTACCATTAAAGAATACTTTGACCGTTTAAGAGATATATAGTAATAATAAAATCATGATAATTGGACTAATTCGATAAATTCATAACTCTCTGACTTTTTGTATATGTCACCATATATGAAATCTCGCTCAGCCATTTGAACGTAATGAACAATGGACCATAATGAAGAGATTAATAGTGGTGTTCATGTGTTCTTGTTTTATTAAATAATACTAATACAAAAATTAACTCTTTTAAGTTTGACCTTGCATTCTATTTAGACTCAGTAGATACAAGTCTTGGAGCAACCACAACATCAAGAGAATAGATCGTAAAAAGAAGCAAGTTACATTCTTGTTGAATGTTGATGATTATCATAGATTCATGTCCAGAGACAATATGATACTACCAGTATATCAAGCACAAAATCAGCATCCTTTAATTAATAAAACTTTTGTTACTTCTAGGAAACCATCTACAAACATTTTTGCAATTACGTATATTGTGATTACACTAACTATACAAATTTGAATAATTGTAGTGTACTCATGTTATCACAATCATTGTCTATAAAGGTGGCAATCTAAATGTTTGATATCTTAAGTCGAAATCAAAAAAAATGACAACACACTAAAAGAAAGTATGATGAAAATATTAAATGAAAATGAATTTATTGAAAATAACAAAAATACAGTTGATGATGATCTGGGTAATGTAAAATCAGCAACTGATGATGTGACAACAATGGAAATTTTATTAGAACATGTAAAAAAAATTTTTTGGGTTGTAAATTTTGTTTTTATTAAATAAGTTTGTTTGATTTTTTCATACATTGTTCATGTTTTTGTCTTAATTGTATATCTTAAATTGATTGTATTTACAATCAATTCGCTGACATTCATTATATTAAGGTTATTTTGATTATATCAAGAGAAATGGCTAAGAGAAGAGTTAGGAAGAGTTATTCTTCAACCAACTTGAAAACCAAGCCTTTAAATCCATTTTAGAGTAGTACAACTTAATTTATTAGACCATTTCAAAGGTTCGTTGCATGGTTGCTTCCAACTTCTTAAATTCGAACCATTTTGTTAACAAACAATTGTTGGTGAAGTGATTGTTGACGAACCAACATTTATTTTTACGTTACCAAATTCATGATTTTAATTGGCCAATCAACAATTGCACGGGTTAAAATTTCGTGTTACCAGAATGGTCTCTCCTGTTGATCTGATGTAAATGAGTTTCATATTAACTATTTTTGTCTAGATAAATTTCATGATGTTAAAAAAAACAATATTGATTCCTGAAATCATTGCTAATGTTCATTTTGTTGCAAGCATGCCCCATATCACTTAAAATAACAAATGGGATATTATAAAACAATTAATTATAATCACATTACAAATGACTAAATTTTGATCCCTGAAATTCTTCAAATATTTGTAAATATGTTAATGAGACCAATTCGCAATCAAATGACATACACTCTTTGATAATAATGACAAGAATTCTCAACCTTCACAATTGTGAGATGTCTCCATTACATGCATAAAGAATTAAAATGAAAAAAAGTGTTTATTTCCTAAATGGTACAAATCATGTGTTTATTATTATATTGTGTAACGGTTGTAATTTCACACATCCGTTAATATTAAAGATTTTCTACACATAAAATGACTATATTAATAATTAAAAAAGTTAACTAAAAAAAATATATATATATTATATTAATTATTAAAATATACAAATTCCCCGTTTATTTAAAATTAATCCTCTAAAAAAAAATAATCAATATATTGTTTTTTTTTAACTTGTAGTATTCTGTTCAGTTGTTGTATCTTTGTTTTTTTCTTTTATTTTACTTAAAGCAACTTGTATAGCCGCTAACCATGCAACTTGTGTTTCATCATTTGGTGCACAACATACATAAGTTCTTCTAGGTGTAATAACTTTGAAACAATATAATTTTGATTTAGAAATTGGTTCTATTTCAATTGCATCAAGGACGTCAATCAGATTTATACTCAAATGAGGTTTGAGATCCTATAAGATTGATATGAAAGCATAATCAATTAATCGTTAAATCAAATACAAATGAAAACAATTGTTGTAATTATTTTATATTTTGTACTTACTTTTTTATCTTTATAATAAACCAATTTATTATTTTTCAATTCAAACCATCTTTTTTTCCAAATTTTCTAAATAAATAAATATAATACATATAATTATATAAATATGTTGTAATTTACACACGTATATAATGTACATATCTATATATAAACACACATGCATGGAAATTTTAAATACCTTGTATCTATCCAATTTATAAAGATACCCTTGATGAATTATTCGGGACTTCTCATCTCCTTCATTATTTTCATCATTTTCATCATTAGTTACATCCATGACATCATTTTCTTCCTCAGAAGAAGCTGTTCTATCACTACTATTTTGTCTTTTAGGAGGAGAATTCGTTGCAAATGGACTTGATGGTGATGATGATGCATTTGGAACAGAACCTCCCGAAGTATAGGATGAAGCAGAAACATAGGAATGTGGTCCTTCTACATTATCGAATGTTTGTTGTTGTTGTTGTTGTTGTTGCTTTTTTTGTAAATTTGGGATGTCGATTGCTGTTGTTTTTTCTACAGAAGATAAAGGCAATTGTTTATCTAAGGCCGGTGATTGTGAGGAAGGCATTTGAACTTTTTTCATCTCTCTTTTTGACAATGATGGAGATCTTTTTAATTCTCTTGATGCTTCTTCACTATCTGCTTGACTTCCTTCATCTAATAATTCTTCATCTTGTACTTCTTTTTTAACTTTATTTATTGCTTCAACCCATTCATCAAGCATTTTTTTACTTTCTGCTTGAACATAATATGTACGTTTAGGAGTGACAATTCCAAATACATTTTGTTTATTTTTTAAATTTACTTCTGTCACAGCATGAACGTCATGCATATCTAAACTTCTCAAAAGTTCATACTCCTAATAAATAAATAATAAATAAATAAATAAATAAATAAATAAATAATAAAAATATTAATATGTGAAATATTTGTTGTCGTTATAGTTATTAATATTTAATAAATCACATGCTTAATTAGTTACCTTTTCACTTTTATAATATGCCAATTTAGTTGACCTTAAAACAAACCATCTTCTTTTCCAATTCTAATAATTATAATTATAATTATCATTATATTTTTTATTGCAAGCTTGTATGAAAAACACTGTGATAATTTTAAAACAGTTAATATAATTTTAATTACTTTTCCCTGGACTTTTCTTTTCCCTCGTTTTTTAGCAAGATAACCCGCTTTTATTAATTTCTCATGTTGTAATGTTTCTCGTGCTTCTCAATTTTTTGCTTTGTCTTCAGGTTCAGTTTCATCTCCTTGTCTCTGGACCGAATTATGATTGATAAACTCTATTTCTGAATCCGAGGTGTCAGAAAATAGTGCGTCTTTGTTATTCTTTTGGGAAATAAAAAAAAAAAATCAATATTTTTGAAACAAAATGTAAAATAAATATCATATTTTTTTGAATTTAATACCTTTTGAGTTGGATCAATGTTGTCTTCGTTGTTGCTATAATCATCATCGATGTTGTTGTCGTCATTTTTGAAATCGTTCTTTTGTGATAAAATTTCAACATGTGTGTCCATTGTGGTATAATTTTTTACTTTAAAGACTGGTAAATCGTTAATATAATATTTCATAAATAATACAAAATGTTGTTATAATAGTAAATACCTGAAATAGGGTTTAGTACTTGGACAGAAGATGGAGAATCGGTCATGCCTGTGTTAACAAACTCGACAAATAGTATATGTTTAAAGTTTATTATTATTATATATATATATACAAAAACAAAACTCTTGCTGTGAAAAATTCTTGTAATGTAAAATTAAAATGTAAAATTAAAATAATTAAAATGTAAAATTTAAATATAAAATTAAATAATAAAAAAAGAATAAGTATACAGGTAAGAAAGAATGAATCAAAGTGAATTTAATTTAATTTAATTTAATTAATAGTAAAATGTTACTTGTAACACAATAAGGGAAATCGTGCGTATCGAAAAAATATCGATTTCCCACACAACTTTACATACTAGATTTTTTTTCCTTGCATATTGGAGAACTATTGGCGTTTATTAATTATTTTTTTTTTGATTTATAATTTAAAGTTGTAATGGGCAAGCATTAGACCATTAGCTAATACTCTACTAGGTTTGTATTAAAATCTTGCGGTGTTGCAACATTATAAAATTTTGGCATGGACAAATCGAAGAATTCATTGATCTCAGTGGATAAAAATAGCTCATATAAAGTAAAGTCAAGTTTGTAATAAAAGAGTGGTCCATCAAAATTAGCCGAATTCTCTGAACATAAAGTGTCTCATTACCAACTTGCTTTAATTTTTGTATGCAAAATCAGCATTCATAAGCTGTTCTTATTTGTGAACAACTCGCGGCAGGAAGTTACTTCAGAAAAAAAGATGATGATTATATTATATTTGATTTTTACTAATTCCGTCAGGATCAATAGGAGTTTTGGGAAAGTGGGACAGTTGTTTTTTATTTTGGTGGATTCAATCGCTACTTCCTGTTAAGGGATTTAATGGCTATTTATCAAAGAAAGGTAAAAAAGGTCGCTCTTGGATTTATGCTTATATAACTTTCTAATTGTTTGCGCAATCTTTTGTGATATTAATGAATCTACTCTTTCAAATAAATTTTTGTAGCATCTGTGAAATTGATATTGGAAGCCCGTAAGTATATACATATTCTTTGGAGAGTGAAAATTTAAATTAATAATTGCAATTTTTTGATTTAGCAAATATGATGTAGAATATTTATCAAGTTATTTAGCATGCAATAATATGAAGGAAAAAGGACGAATGCTTTTTGGACTTGATGAATCAACTGTGAAAGTAAGAAGAAAATTAAAAACTATTTATAATTTATACATACATATAATCATGCATATATGAACTTATAAAGTATAATCCATTACATTTGATTTATTCATAGGAATCATCTACTATCAAAAATTCAATGGATCGAGCAGAAAATTTTTTGACACAATTCAATAATAATAATATCAGTGTTAATAATAACAATAAACGTAAGCTAAGTCAGAAAAAAATAGAACAAGAAAATCAGAAAAAAGGTAAAACAAAAATTATAAAAGATTTATTTATACAACAATCACGGCAGGAACGAATGAATCAACAACAAAAAGAAAAAGAAATTATTATTCTTGATAGTGATGATGATGACTATGCTCCCGTTAAAAAGTTTCAAAAGGTTGATAATTTTAGGACCCCGTCATCTTTAAACTTTATGAAGCCACTTGATTAAAAATATAATTATGACAAGATAATAGGTAGGTGATGCGTAGATTAATAAATTGTATGAAAAAAGATTACAAGTAATTTTGTTTGTATCCATCAATCAGAAACACATTGTTATCCAATAATGATTATGCAAATTTTCAAGATTGAAAAAAAATTTATTATCAATAATATCAATTTGGAATAAATTGCATTGAGCATGGAAAAAAATTGATTATGTTCTTATAACGAATATACGGACGGATCCATTATATTAAAATTGTATCTGATGAATTACAAATAAATAAAAATTTAAATCATCAATCATCCAAGATGTTATATATCAATTCATTTATTATTTATTAAACACAATATGAATATGGACGATGTGTTGTTATTTCAATTTTGGGTTACATACGCTGTAATTATTCAATTAATTATAAAAGTTTCTTTATTGAAAAAAAAAAATTTCTTTTGTTAAAATTAAAACCTTCTTAATGATGTCTTATTTATTTATAATGGCCTTTTCTTTGATTGTTGTTGCCTAGTAGCAGTTGATGATTCTTTATTTCTTAGCAATACAGGTTGACTTACTAAAATGATATTCATATTAATAATTTAATGATGAAAATTTAATATATTATATATACTATACACTATATCAATTAATTTGTTTTTTTACTAACCATTTCTTGAAGCAACTCTTCTCTTAAGAAAATCTTGTCTTTTCTTATTTACTTCAGCAGAATTAGTTGATAAGGATTTTTTTTGATGATGATTGCTGACAGTATATGATATTTTATTTTTTTTATGATCAGACGTTTCACTAGTTTTAAGATTAGTATTTTTACGCTTAATTCCAATAATTGATTTATTGTGATTATTATAATATCTATTAGAACTAATAGCTGCATTGTCATATTTACTGGTGGTATTTGTAAAATGTGCAAACTTCAAAAGATCTTCTTGCGTAATGATGGAGTTCAATTTTACAAGTTTCTTTTCAAGATAATCAATGGTGATCAGACCAGGTCTTTTCCTATTACTATTATCATCATAATCATCATTTTTGACTTGGGTACCGCCATCAACCAAAGGATTCAATTTTGGCACCACAAAATCCTCGGTTGTTAAATGTTTATACAGTTCTGTATAATCAAAATCATCATCATCATCATCATCATTTGTCAAAGTGACCAATTTAAGTGGAAGATAATCTTCTGGTCTTAAAAGATCATAAAGTTTTATAAAATCATCATCATCTGAACTATCATCATCTGGATTGGCATTCGCGACTTGATCAGTTAAAATAGTATTATTAGTCATTGAATAATTTTTTCCATGATTATTTATATTTCCATAGTCACATAAGGGTTTGGTTTGGTTTATTGATGCTGTAAGAAAAAATTTTTTTTTTTAAAATTCATTAATTTAATTTTAAAAAATTTTTTTAATATAACTAGTTTATTTTTTTTTACCATCAGAACCAACTATTTTTATTTCGTGGCTTTTATACGATTTTTGTGAAATTCTCTTTGGTTTTTTTAAAAGTGCATGTTCCATTCTTAATTTAAAAATATTTAATTTGAAGGTTTAAGAAAGTGATTTATTAATAATTTTTGTTATGACTTCAAAACAAATATAAATAATTGATTATATATATATAACTATCAAATTCTTAAACGCGTAATTATAAAATAATTTACAAGGAATTTTATTGCGTGATAATAATCTTAACTGAAATATATTAAAGGTTATTATTATTGAATAAATAAATCAGAGTATTATGACGTAGAATTAAAATTGGAATGAACCAGGAAGTTAAAGCTTATAAAACACATTCCAATATTTTTAAAACAAGGTCTTCATATTTTAAAGCTTGTTTGGCTGAATAATTGGGTAAAAAAATCAGATGATGGAAAAAAAACCATTTCTCCCCAAAAGTATTCTAATAATAAAATTTTTTTAGAGATTTTGAGCTTCAACATGTGATGAATTAATTAATCGAGGATTTACAAAAAACCGACTAATGATTTTCAAAATATCGAAAAGAGAATGTGACACGGCAAACTTTCAATTTTTTTTTTTTCGATAATATTAATTTTGTATAGGAATGGCACCTACATGATCAGGCAAAACACCGGCATACATATTGCCAATGTTACATGGAAAACTTGGATTAGAGCTTTAATAATATCACCGAAAAGAGAATTGCCTCAACAAGTAAGTAGAAATGATTTAGATATGAGACACAAATAAAGGATTTAATGCTCATCGTGTCATTATTGCTTGCCAAAATTCGTAATTTTTTTGAAATCGTTTCCATATTTTAATCAAATTTGCAGTTTTTTCTTATTCTGACATATTAGAATCGTACGGCAAGGGTTTAATTTCTTATAAACTTGCAGAGAAGAGAAATTTATCTTTATTAATTAAAAATATTTAAAAGTTTTGTAGAAGATAAGAGAGGGAGGAGGGAGCGTAGTTCATTTATATAGGTGATTTTTTATAAGTTTGTGATCTGTGAAAACCTGTTTACTTTTTTTCATAATTTTAAGATTTGAATAAATAATTAACGCATATTAGAGTGTCAGAATTTCACATGGGGCACCTTTGTGGGATTCTCTGGATATGTTATCTTTTGATTTGGATTGCATAAAGGTGGATAGACATGTTGTTATTGATGAGTGCAAAGGTTAAATCTCTTGAACCAAAATGGCTTGAAAGAAGTGATGTAATAAAAAAATACCTTGTAAAAATATGTAAAAAAATGATTAGAAAATTTGTTTTCAATTAATTAATTATCAACATAATAAATAAATAAAAATTGTTTTTCATTTTTCACATTATGCAATCAGAAATTAATATATTATGACAATTATGACATGATTATTATATTTTGTATGTAGTAGTCCTGCTCTAAGCCTAAAAACATCATCATCAAATCCATTATCTTTGAATGATTTAAATACTGTTAATTCTAAAACTCATGAAAAATAAATGATTTATGAGAGGAAGTAAAAAAAGGAATATTGCTTGGAGGTATTTTAAACAAGGTGATCTTGTGAAATGTTGTTAAAGATGATAGTGAAGTAAAAAAGGTATATTGTCAGTGTTGTTGATAATAATTAAAGATTGGAACTTGAGAATTTTTTTTTTCAACTATCATTATATCAATTAATGCACAAAAAGTGAATGGTAATGCAGAAAAATTGTGTAACTAAAAATATTAATCCGTGTAGATAAATTTATATTTTTTTAAAAATAAACAAATAAATATAAATTATTTCTTTATCTATACAAAAAAATTATTTTTTGTGCCATCTCGAAATTTTTTTTGTTACTATTGTGATTATAAGGTTTTTGTTTATTTTTTAATCAACTAGTACTAGTGTGTACTCGACACCAATCAACACTAATACTAATAAAAGAAATCGAAATTTTTTTTATATGAATACAATTATCGTGTAACGAGATTTATGTAAAGTATTACGTTCTAAAGGTTTCTGTAACCTTTTATGGTAAAGACTGGCAAGTTGAATATAACTGATATACCTGATACATTCACACAGGAGAAGAATTATGTTCAATCTTATTGGTTTATCACTTGTGGTTGCATGACATACGTGCGAAATTTTGAATCGTGCATTTTCCCATGGAAATTAAAAACATAAGTATATTATAAATAGTAATTTTTTCTATTATTATAATGGTTTGCACTTCGAGACGTTAGATAGAGTAACTGAAGGTTGCAATTGTGAATTATATGAAGGTGTTGCAGTGTGCGAAGAGATACAAATATTTTATAATCATTTGTGAGCTCTGAAAAGAAGAAGAAAAAAAAGAAGAATACGGTGCAGATCATCTATAATCATTAATTGCTTATAGTAACAATTGGTCAACTTCAAAATACTAAAACAAAAAA